GGCCTTCATGCGTGGGGTTAGGCGCCTGAAACCAGTTCGCTCCCCTAGAGTTCCCTCTTGGGATCTTTCTGTCGTCTTGGAGGGTTTAAAGGAGGCCCCCTTTGAACCCTTAGAGTCAGCTCCAGATCGGATTCTGACTCTTAAGGTGTCACTTTTGTTGGCTTTGTCTTCTTTAAAGCGGGTAGGGGACTTGCAGGCTCTTTCTGTTAGTGAGTCATGCTTAGACTTTGCTCCCGGGTTAGTCAAAGTTTCCTTGAGACCTAGGCCAGGCTATGTTCCTAAGGTTCTCTCCACAGCGTTCCGCTCTCAGGTTGTTAGCCTTAACGCTTTCCACCCTCCGCCTTTTTCCTCTGAGGAGGATAGGAAGCTTAATCTGCTCTGCCCAGTTCGGTCTTTGAAGTTTTATGTAGACCGCTCCAGCTGTTGGAGGAAATCTAACCAGCTTCTGGTTTGTTTTGGTGCTGGCCGCCGTGGGCTTGCTGCATCGAAACAGAGGATTTCTCATTGGGTCACAGAGGCGATATCGATTGCCTACCAGGCGCGTGGTTTGCCTTCGCCTCTTGGCATTAGAGCGCATTCCACCAGGAGCGTGGCATCCTCTCAAGCTCTTTTCAGGGGAGCTCTATTAGAGGACATTTGTGTTGCGGCCGGATGGTCCTCTCCGCACACTTTTGTACGTTTCTACAATTTGGATCTTGACATGACCCCGGGTTCCCAGATTCTTTCTGTTTGAACCGTTTGTAGTCTTTATCTTTTGATACCAGTCATTGCAGCGCTCTTTGCTTGGCGAGTTTGGTATCCCGTTCCCACTGCGCTATCCGCAGCGTTGAGTGAACCTATGAAAGAGAACGTCTCTGGTTACTTACGTAACCTATGTTCTCTGAATAGGGAACGAGACGCTGCGTTAGCGGCCAAGCTCCTCGCGCTGCTGACAGTCTTCTTTTCGGCAGAGAAATCTGAGGGGAAGATGGCGCACGCGCGTATATGATTATGCGACGTAATTGCGTCGGGGCGGGGCCAGATTGCGCGAGCGCCATCAGCCAATGGATTGGCGTGATTCTATTGGGCTTCAGACAATCGGCATATTCAGAGAATATCCCACTGCGCTATCCGCAGCGTCTCGTTCCCTATTCAGAGAACATAGGTTACGTAAGTAACCAGAGACGTTTTCACAGCCGGTAAGGTGTGCGGTGAGAGCGCTCGACAGCGGTTTTCATGGCTGGTGGTAGACAGCTGCACATTCCTGTTGTACTAGGAGTACCCCAACTCTACTGTAACGCGTTACACACAACACTTTCAACAACCCACCCCAGTGCCTTTCTTAAAGGAAGTGCACGAGGAGCTCAAGTGGACGGCACCTTTTACTGCCAGGAACTGTCTGGGTGGCTCCTCCTCCATCAGAACGGAAGCGAACCGAAAACGTGGTTAAAAAACCGAGGTATGTATTGAACCGGATAACTGTATTGTTGCATCCCTAATATATATTATTCCGTACAATCAGAAATAAAATATTACTGTTTATCCTAAACATTTATAAGTGTCACTGATACTTTCACGTCCCAATATAAGCTTTTAACTGGATCTGTATTTTCACAACCCTGATGGCCTGAATCTTTTTTTAAAGACCTACAATGAACTTAATCAGCTTTTTCCTCATCAAAACACGATTTAAAATGCATCACTGTTAATAATGAATTGCTTATTTTACCTTGGAAGTTACTTTGGAAAAATGTATCTGCTAAATAAATATTTAATTATTGCTCATGTTAAAAAAAGCTCATGCTCCCTTATTTTTATCTTTGTTAAAATAGTTGTTGCTAACCACAGGCAGATGTGGCAGAAAGTGAGAATTGCTTTGTTTCTCACAAAACAAGTGTGACAAGATAACTAGATACTGTAAATCCCTAGCAGCATCCATTCTCTGTCCCACTTAGGTGGGGATTCAATTGGGAGAGCCTGGAAGGAAGAAGGAAGTCTGGGAGACATGCCAATTCCCTCATCCAGGAATCAGCCAGCAGGTGCATTCACATATCGACCAGTGCATTAATTACCAACACTTTTCCTGTTGTTGTACAAGGTAAGGTCCAGTGGAGCATGTAATGGACTAGATAGTCTCCAGGGAGAATGGGACATAATGGGAATATCCAACACAACTGGGAAGATCTCTGAATATGGGCTGTATTTTAAGCAAACTGCCTTTGTTATTTGTATAATTCATCTGGTGTATGAATAATACGTGGTATAAGTTGTGGTCTGGGAAAGGTTTGTGTTTATTTGTTAATCATTATTAGCCTCCAAATTAGCCTCCAGTGTTTTATTTATATATTAGCTAATATTTCGTCACTGGATAAACAAAACTACACACTAAATGATGGATTCCCATGAAATACAACACAGACACATGGGGCAAAAATGTACATAGACAAATCATCATCAAAAATCCTCCAGAGAAGTTTGCCGCGTTTTCCTGAAATCTCACGAGGAAGACCAGCTTTCATCGGTTTCATCAGGGCTCTGAAACCGTTGCCATGACAACTTATTCCCAAGACATACACTGTGAAATGCAGCATCTTGCCTGCCAAGGACATAAAAATATCAGGTGCCTTTGGGAACCAGCGCAAACATCTGCCAGATGACAACGGGATAACAACAACTCTGTCTCTCTTTCACTCGTTTACTCTCAATATCATGCTCCCACACATGTGCAGGAACAATAAACATAAAGAATGTCTGAGGCATTGTCCATTGTGTGTTGGGTAAAGCCTGCAGTTCATTCAGATGTATGACTCATTTTTTATTAATTCAGATGTGCTGAACAGCTGATTCACTGATTGTATGCTGTAAGGCTGACATGCTCAGATCTGATTCAGAGCACTTCACAAACAGTAATCATAAAAAATGAATATAGAAATAATAACAGGAAACAACATTAATGATATTCATTAATATTCTTATTCAGAACAATATTATTATGTGCCACATTATTACAAATATTTTGTTGAGTGTTTTCATCATCCAAATTAACTATAACAAAACACACATTTGCTGCATATTTTGATATTGTGATGATGGAAACCTGTAATCTTTAAAAAGCACCAAATAAACAAGCATTTTGTAAATTATTGTTTACAATTAAAATGCAAAATAATTAACAAACAAGCGGTACTGTATGGTCATACATTTCTTGTTGCAAAAGAATACTCCCTTGTAAGTAATAGCACACTTCAAGCACCCTTGCCACTGGCTATGAAAAGTTTAGTCGTGTCTAATCACAGAATAATTTCAACTGATTGACTGATTCCTGGTATAAATCTACTCCTAACTGTACATCGACATTCCTTGACTCATTTATCAGTGTTCTGTGTAGCCAATAGGTTGCAATACCCAGATCTTGGCAGTAGTCCTGGTCCATTTTACTCCTGCTGAACATCAGGCATAAAACAAACAGGCCAATCCGATAATTGTCCAAACCAGACTGGCCATTAATTGCCATGTACAGAATGCATAAAAGTCTACTGACTGACCACATTTGGCTGACACTTTTTATAAAAATCAACTTTGCATTGAAAGTGTATTTAATCAGTTTTTGCATTCCCTGCAATTGAAACCACGACCTTGGCTTTACTGGAGCCCTGCTGTTTGAGCTACAGCCTACAGAAAATACAGTACACATTACAACAGCTAATGTCCACTATAAAAGTCTGACAGGATCAAACTAAAGCTCAACACGTAACACTAAATCATCTAGCATCTCAAGTTCTGTCACTTAGACCTCCTGATCGGAAAGATGTTATCGGCCTTGTGTGTCTTATCTCAAAGCAGCATGGGCACATAAATAAAGACAAGCCTTTGCTTCGTGATGTATTCTCTTTAATGTCCTTCCAGAGTGATTAATTTGTGCACGAGCACGCCCGCGGCGGGGAAGGCATCTCACGGCGCGTGGCACAGCAGTGTTGCAGTCAGAAGAGCTGTCGATCAATTGCTACATGCAAGACGCCTGGAATGACTGCACATGTTTTCCCCAGGGTGACTGAATTTAGTCGCTTCGATTACATAGGCCAATCACAAATAACGCTAAAGGAAAACCAAGGAATATAATTCAATCGAAAACACTGTCAGATATAGGGTACAGACAACCAGTTGCCTCATGTTTGTTTCAATAGCTACTGAGCATTGTGATCAGCTTTCAGCCTAGCAGAAGTGACATAAAAAAGCTTTTCGTGGTTCATATCATGTTAATTATAACAAGGAAAAATCCTTTTAAAAACATGTGCCAGGTTATTATCTTTTAAAACATGTTTCATAAATGGATTTTTTTTTTAAATATAGTCTTACAATAATCCAATTTAGCCTATAACATCTCCTATAAACATTCTGAATGCTTGAAAAGTGCTGTATACTGTATGTATAGCGACTATACTTTCTTTGCACCTTGAATACATAATATAATAATATATTCTTCAAGATTATATATATATATATATAATCTTTAATCATAAATTATATATATATATATAATTTATGATTAAAGATTCTTTTTGAGTCATGGAGTATATTTACTTTAGGTCACTTAATTTGACCTCGGGAAAAAATAGTCACACGTATAAGTCTTGTCTGGTTTCAAGAAATAACAAAAGATTGCATTAACCTATTTATTCAAAAATATCATTCTGTTCTCCAGACAGTTGTTCAGTGCATTTTTAATGAACTGTGGGCTATTTTTAATACACACACACACACACACACACACACACACACACACACACACACACACATATATATATATATATATATATATATATATATATACTGTATATATATATATATATATATATATATATATATATATATATATATAATTATGCCTAACTCATAACATCAAGTCAAGAACACTTTAATATAGACACGCAATTGTAATCCAATGCAACATGTGCTTGGATGTGTTACGAATAGTGAACACGTGGCTAAAGACAGAGCTGCCACTTGTGCTCATAACTCACCCTTGCATATTTCGAAGAATAGGGATCTTCAAAGAGCGCCCAAACACGACGCTGCCAACGTTGCCAAAATCCTGAACCTTTGGCATCCGGCGAGTCGCCGAGGGAAAGGCGTTTAGTCATCTCAAGTTCATCGTCTCCATCCCCTGGATCACCCAAAACTTCTGTGTCCATATCATCGTTCCCCATTTCAGGTGGCCCTCCACCGAAACTGTCCAGCGCTTCTTCGGCCTCCCGGTGCTGCCGGTACGTCATCCAGCAGCAAGGCTCCACATCTGTCTCATCGATACCCCAGAAGGCCAACTCTTCCTCATAAAGAGGACCACAGACATCAGCAGGGCAATGCAACTTTCCAGTCCTATAATAATTGAGAATGTGTGCAAAAACTCCGGGGTGGCGGTCAAAGAAAAACTCGTCGATCTGGGCGTCATAGTCAAAGTGACTGTGGGCATCAGGCTCGGCGAGCCACGCTAAACGAGTGCCGGGGAGAGTGCGCAGGGTGCTGCGGTATGTCTGGTGTCGAATCCCTCCCACGTTAATCACAACACGGTCTTTCTCGTCGCCCTGGCCCATCTCGTCCTTTAGGCATATCTCGAGCCCGGGCCAGGAATTAAAAAAGACCCGGAGGATACATGTGCGCAATTGATAGGCGACTGAAAAAGGAGACTGGGATGAATAAGCGCAGAAAAACAGGTGCGCAAAGGCAACTCATCTGCAGGAAATCGGTACATGAGCGTTTAATGTTCTTGTCAGGTGAATAAGAGATTGTCTCCAGATGCCAGGAGAAAATTAGAAAATAAAGATTAAACAAACCAAATTCATGCAGAGGATGTCATAATTCAGCGCTCCACACCATCCGGTCCAGATGAGGTGCGAGGCTCATGGCTTGTGGTGCACCGCTGGTGGCAGAGTAATGCGTGTGTGTGTGTGTGTGTGTGTGTGTGTGTGTGTGTGTGTGTGTGTGTGCGGTTCTGAACGGACAGCTCCAGGGCGCACGCTTTCCCTCCTCTTTCCAAAACGAAACACATACACTGCCCTGAATCCCCGTAGACTCCTCAAATCCGACAGAGTGGAGGGATCGAGGCTAGACAGAAACGGTCACATTTTAAGCGGTTTTTCGATCTGACATCAGTCGTTTTCTTCAAAGCATGTCCAGATGTCCACGACCAGAAGCCGTTTGTTGGCAATCACAACAGACATCACATCTAGAAAATGTTTTGCCACTGGATGTGAAGCTATACTTGCACAGGAGACGTCAGGTTTGAAGTGGAAGAGGGGTGGTCCTTTAAAAATCCTCTTTTTTTCTCCACAATGTCCAGTTTGGCGAAATCCTCCGGTGTTTGTTCGGAAGTGATGGGTCGTATCCTCTTTATTTTCACCGTATGGTAGGCTATGTTCGGTCTCCTTTTCCGCGCGTGCCTTTCGATTAGAGTGGAGCGAGACTCGTCATTCCTGCGGAGAGACAACATGAGCCTTCTCTAGAGCCCACCGACGCGCATGCGCAATTGCTGAGTGGCTGAGTCGACGCGTGCACGAGATCAGATATTAGGATGTTTTTTGGACGGTGGAAAGCTCGATTCAGAACGACATACAGTATAATTGAGAAGACGACGCTTGCAAAAGCGCTCCCTCATCATCCTGTTTCTGCAGGTTTCATGAGATGTGTGGCTAACTGTGTAGCCTACACACTGCAGCTCACACGAAAGTCCGCAAAATAAATAATATTAAGTGTGATCAAGGGTCAGAAATCAAAAAGGGTTTGGGGCAAAAATGATGACACCTCTCAGATATTTAAATTTGGTGGTAAAGACAATTTTATTAGTTATAGGCCTAATGTTTGACTATTCTAAGATTAATAATTTATTGGTTAAGTAGGCTATAGTGCTTCTGAAGACATGGTATACATAGCTGTCAGATACCTGAATTCACTGTTATTGAGTGCACATCTAATATGAAGTGTGTTTTTATGAATAAGAATAAAATAAAATCAGCTCTGAAAAAAATGCATCCAAATATACTGTCTGTAATCTAGGTATAATGTGACTGACAAATTATTATTGCTAATTTATTACAATTGTAATAAATTAGCAATAATAATTTAATTGTAATAAATTAGCAATAATAATTTGTCCAGATGCCCACGAGCAGAAGCAGTGCCCACAACCAAAATAAAATTCACTTCAAATACAGTCTGCAATCTGCAAATAAATAATAAAAAAATACTTCTAAATTAAGTATTTTTTTTATTATTTATTTGCAGATTGCATATTTGAAGTTGATTTTATTTTTGGTTGTATGAAAATGCCCTTAAAAAAGTTACTTAGGCCTATACTAAATTAAATGTTGCACTTTATTTTGGTACGTGCACTTACCCGTGGCTACTTACAGTGTACTTACCTAAGAAAGTATTATATAAACTAGACTACGTTAATTAAAGCTCCAGTCCGTAACATTTTTTGGGGGGTTAAAAATTATCTAAAATACATTTTTGAGCAAGTAGGCCTACATAAGTGTTCAAAACTATCTGCTTGCCTTAGCTCGATTCAAAACGGTACTGTAATAATTTTTTTAATTCCAGTGGTACTGGTGGATTTTACATCACATAAAGAAGGAGTCTTGGCTAAGCTATATTGCGAGTGTGAGGATGTTGGAGGTGGAGATTTATAGCCTTTTTTCTAACATAACTTATAATTAAACTTATTAATTTGATGGTGGATCCAGAACGGTTCAAACGACAATCCCCAGTGACAGTTAGAGGGGGAGGAGTTTTAATCTGGATCTTAGGCTACCTTATGTACACACCTTATATACACTGGAGGATGACACTGATATTTGAGAGGGAACCACTAAATATGACCATTGGAGAGGTGGTCACACCTTTTCATAGCCTCAATTGAACGTCACCACATGTATTTATGTGCATTAACAGCCTGATGAAGATGATATGGAAGTATGCGAGTTTATGCCAAAGGAGAATGTCATCACTTATGCTGGCATTGAAATCTGAGAAACTCAGGAGAACTCACAACAGCCTCACAGAAACAGCAATGAGGATCTTACAACAAATGCAACGATGGACAATCTGGTAAAGAAAACTGCTGATCTCAAGGTGGACGCCAGGAAGACCAGAAGTGGACGCATCTTTGAGCCTCAGTTCCCCCCTCAGGTGGGAAATAAAATGTACATGGCCTGTGTTTATCTGGTTAGGGTGGGTGGAAGACCAGAAGTGGATGCATCTTTGACCCTCAGATCTCTCACAGTTCCCACTAAGCCAAGATCCCCAGCCATGTGCCCGAAGAAGTGCAAAGTCAGTGTACTCAAATAGTAGTTTGACTAGGACACACAATATTTCCAGTACGATCACACAGCAACATACTACTGACCCATGCTGTATGCTGTTTAATGTATGTTGGTTTGATTAATTCAGTAGCAGAAATGCTTTGTAAAACAAGTAACTACTAGGCTACTAATGGACTAATATTGATTTACCAGCTTGGTCACTATGAACAGATGCTATTATTTCGAAATAATAGTGACATCTAACGGCAGAATATGGACTATGGCCTAACTATTATTAAGTGCATATAGGGCATACAATGTATGGATCTAAATGTTTTTTGAATGATTTATTTAATTATGTTTATAATAATTGGTATATGAGATTTACAAGCTTTGTCTTTCTCCTCAACAAAAAAAGTTATCATAAAGTTTCTGTGGTTGTGACAATAAGTGCATCCAGATCTCTGAAGCTCTGTTTCATTTTCCGCCACAAGGTGGAGACATCCACACATTTTTGGATGAGTGCAACCAGAGAACGTCTAAATAAAACGTAAATCCTGTAATCTGATTTATACCCCTGCTCTGGCCTGCCATTTGTATTCAACAAAGGGCATCGGTTTTTTAACATCCCAAATCGATTTTAAAATCGGTGTGACATAAACGGATCAGAGGACAAAGGAACACTGCTTCTGAGCTGTAGGCCTATTAATAAGAAATCAAAACAAAACAAAGAATCGAAATGTTTAGAAATTATCCAGAGCTTATACATTTTGACAAATGTCTAGGCTACACAGTATATTTATTTATTTAGTACCGAATATTTTTGCACGGTCTCTATGGTGTTATTTGGCCTTGTTTAGGGGGACTCTCTAAGGGGGAGGGAACTGGGTGTTGCCCTTTTAACGTCGTCTGAGTCCAAGCAGCAGCAACACACAGCCACTGTGATTGGGGTTCAGTCTGCGCGAGCACTGCGTAACGGAGGCTTCATCGAGACACTTCTTCGTTAACCGGCTTAAAAAACACCCTTTAGAAAAACCGACACCATGGGCGTTGGCGTTGATGGCTGCTCGAAATGTATTAAATACATTCTCTTCTTCTTAAATTTCATCTTCTGGGTAAGTGGTCATTCATTCTGTGCGGTGTTCCTGTGACTGGCCTGAGAAACCGCCATTGTTTTGTTTTAGTATTATTATCATTAGTAGCCTATCCTTCATGTTTTCCGTAGCTAATGAACAGGAATTTAATTCGCATCCTTGCGCCGCTAATTTTGAGTGACTTCTGGTAGGGTGTCAGTGACTAAAGAATTCGCTGAACATTAATTTGTTTAAATACAGATGTTTTATGTAGAAGACACAGGATTGTAGAATCGCTAAAGTTAAGACTAAGCTAAAGTCAGTTCTCTTTAAAAAGCTATAATAGGGGCTCTTTTTCGACCTCAGAGCGAAATAACGGACATGGGGCGGAGGAGTCCATCAACAAGACTTCATCACAGCTGTCGTCTATTAAAACTCCCCACAAAGACTAGTCTTATGTTTATTGGGCATGTCAAACTTGTTTTTAATTTCACAAAACCACGCTATTAATTAATATTTTCCAATGCATAGTTAGGAATTAATAGCGCAGTGCTAATAATTTGGCGTTGTCTGGTCCCTCCCACAAGCTGTAGTTTTGAGAAGACTCTGGAAAAGTGAATAGTGTAACGTTACTAAAATATTCCACCATAGCCAGATCGTGTTGAAAGTTGTTGCTCGTTGTGCTGATGTAGACTCATTAGACATTGCCTGTGTCTTCATTAATTTCTAAGTGTTTTTTTTTAATTATTATTATTATTTTTTAATCGAGTCATTTCATTTTAGGAACTTACTGTTACCAAACAGTCTAAATGGAAATCATCACGCATGTGTAGGCCTACAGACATCGTATGTCTCATCTACAGCTCTTTCTAAGTTGTTAGTTAAGCATTCACATTTTCCTCTCAAAATGGCTGGTTGATTAATCCGGTCTCAATTTACATTTTACATTTATACTCTTGGTTGGTTAGCCTATTTCTAAACCAAAAAAAATAAGAACATTGCGTAACTGCATTACTAATTACGTAGGAAAGAAGGCCACCACTGGTTTACGTGCTAAAACTAAATGTTTTTTCTTTTCTTCCCAGAAAGTGGCTTCATGAACAATACAACAGGAATTCAGTACAGTTGTCGTGTTTAGGCCCATTTACACCGAGGACAATAACTATAACTATAAAGTTGCTTGTAATAATTGTTCTAGTTCAATTCTATATTCTATAACGATAACAACTCAGAGGAAAGGTGCTTCTTTAAATCGATTTCAGAACGATTTTTTCTCCTAGCTGATTAACGATGAAAACATTGAGAGCCAATCAGAATCCAGAACATTCAAAGCACCAGAAACCAAACTGCTATGCACACTTGGGATAAAGAAAACGTTTTTGTCCGTTGATGTGGATGCAAATTTTGTTATCGTTATAGTTATCTTTAAGGTTATTGCTCTTGGCATGAATGGGTTGCCATTCTAGCCATTGAGAGGAAACAAGAAACCAACATCAACCATAAAACGGAAAGTATTTTCTTGCTGGCTAATGGGTTTAACACCCACGCTCATTTCTTTACAGGCGGGGTGGGACAGGTGAGACCACTCATGTGTGAATGAATATTTCAAAATAGCATAATGGCTTCTTACTTGGAAAAATGTTGCTTTGAGAACTGACCCATATGACGGTGTTGGTAAAATACCTATAGAAGGTGTTAGATCTAAGAGTCCATTGCCAAACCCATATAGGAATAGTTTGACAGTAAGTTGTGGTTAATGCAGAATGGTGGCGGGGGGGGTTGACAGAATGTCTGGGCCATCTTCTTCTCTGCCTCATGCTTTGACATGCCAAGCATTCTACAACCACCTCACACTGGGTCATCATGAGTCAAAAATAGAACCCGCACCGGACTGCAGGCAGCAGACGAGAGAGGTTTGAGGGGAGGCTCTATTTCTAAAACCCTTACACAGGTTGCTAGCGGTTTGTGAGTGAGAGGAAGAAGTGTGCATGGGAGGGCAGATGCACATTTTCTTCATTACAGGAAATATTAAGCCACATGATGGTGCAAACAGTTTTTTTGTATACAGCACAATCAGCAGTGCTAATTCAATAACTACAGTGTTAAATTCAACACTTTAAAAGTGTCTATATTGGTCCATACTAGATCGAGTTAAAACTACACTTTTCAAAGTGTTAAATATACTCAAAGAGTATATTTACACAACAGTGTAAATATACTCTTTTTTTGTGTTCCCTTGACAACCAAATTATAAAGGTGAAAATTAGGTCATGGCTGACTTCTTGTGCTGAGTTAAATGGCTTTATTTATGTAGGCCATTGTATATGGAAGACATTTTCTCCCAATTTTTAATAAATCAATTAAATGAGAAAAATGAAAACTAGATGCATCATCCCTGTCAAATTGAAAAATAAAATGAAATTGGTGATTTGACATTTAATTTTCACTACAATCTGCAGACAAATGTGAAAAATAAACTGCAAATACAGTTTTTACAAAGTTTTTCTATTAATGCCCATGCAATATCGTGACACAATTCAACAATTCAAATTAAAATGTAAAATTTTGTTTTCATTTCCTCTTTTATTTCACAGTTATCGTTTTCATTTCAAAGTCAAACTGTATCCACATTCTATGTTAATGAGTACTACATATAACTACAATGTCGTGATCATATCCAGCCTTGGAACAACAAGAACAGAACCCCACAAACCACCAGACTGTCCATAGCGTCAAACCCAGGCCCTCAGTCTGGCTTCTTCGGTTGCCAGAGAAACTGTTCAGCGTAAGTAGGCCATGTCACTAAGTTCACAAGGATTGTCCTTCATTATACTTTCCCTCAGGGTCACACTTCCATATCAGGAAGGTATTTCTCAAATTTTTGATGTTTGCTCAGCATAAATGTAGTAGAACACTTAAAGTAGTTGAAACGGTTTTAGGAGTAAGCAAATAACAATCCAACCAATTCCTGGTGGACAAAATGAAATTGACTTTTTTTCTCATTTGAGAAGCCGTTTCACTTAGATAAATGTCATAATAGGTAGGACAATCACAATTTTCAGTTCATGCCAACTTAGTATTGGCTATTTGCACTCTGCTAAATATTTTTTGCTCTTTAGCAACAGATTAAACCTGTAGCATTTAGGCCTATTCACCAAACATTTTATGACTCACAATTCTGCAATGACTTAGTCACTGTCCATGTTATTATGTGTAAACAGGCCATTTGATGTTTTAACATTCACAATAAAATGACAAAAAAAGGTTGTAATTCAATCAGTAAAAGTTTGTTATGAGCATACTCTGCTTTTATTTAAAAGCATTGTTGCATGGATTGCAATATTATTGCCTGTAATAGCTTGTAATAGCGCCAAATATATCCTGTATGACAAATAGATTATTATTAAATTAATCCTTGTGTTTGGCTCTAAAATGAATGGCATTTCCTGCCTTTTTGTACATAAATTCAGTTAAAGAATGGAAACTGAAAAGGGGGGATGCCCCCATATCGCCCCACAAGAATAATGGCTTTTTCTGGTTATAACTCCCCCTGACACCTCTGGTCTACTGGAAACTCCTGTGTTTAGGGAATCTCTGTTTACTCAGATATTCCCCAACTCATTATGAGTGAATGTAATGTGGAATCCACCAAGAGTGGGTTGCTTGAAGTGACAGAGCTTCTCCATGAACATCACTTAGGAACCTCTCCCTTTGGCTGGCCTCTGTTTACTCAGTTGCCAAGCAGCGGGGCTGCCTGAGCTCTGGAATGGGCCTAGCTGGCCTTTGGAGAGAGACTGAGAAAGACAGAAAGAGAAATGGAAAGAACTCTTTCTCTCACTTTTACCCTGTCTGGAAAATATTTTTCTTCTCTGTGTTTAGCCGCAGAGAGAGTTCCTTATTCAGAATTTGTTTATTATTCAGCATGCTAGACTGCAAATTTAGGCAAATAATTTCCAGGAAAACCATTTGTATTAGATAAAACATATGTTTGAACAAATTACATTTTGAATTGGATTTTAATTTTATATTTTCTGTTCGCGTTTTAATTTTTGTAATCTCGTCATGCTTTTTTCCCCTATTTCTGTTTAGCTTTAATTTATTTTACTTTTAGTAATTTTAGTACTTCAATTTCAAGTTATTTCAGTTTGTTCCCAAGGCAACATTTCAATTTTTTAAAATGTACATTTTTAATCTACCATTTATTTTATTTTTATTTCAAATAACGAAAAAAAAAACGGATCGTTTTAGTTTCAGTTCACAATACCAACAATGGTTAAAAATGATCCATTTATTTTGTAGAGGAGATGCTGTGATGTCTTTTTTACATCAACAGGTGGGAAAGACCAGTAATGCTGGGGAAAAACAAAACAAAAAAAAAACATTAAGACAGAAGAGAAAGTGCCCAGTGTTTTCCTTGTGATCCTTTATAGGGAGGTATGGTGTGTGTAAGAACCTCACCACCAACAAATGCTTTTTGCTTTGACCTGAAGCAAATAACTGTGGCAATGCAGCTGTTCGCATATGTAGAGCTGGTGCGAGTGTTGGATTCTTGATTGGAAAGGAAGGAAGTACACGTCTATTGTTTTCACAGCCAGAGAAGCGCGTTCTGCCCATCCCAGCATTCTTGCTAATGGTCTTTGCTCTGTCTCACATTCCCGTTACTCTCCCCTGTGCGGTGTAGACGGATCACCTTGCTTCTAACGGCACCCACCGTGTTCTTGGCGGTCTCCAGTGCTCTTTATCTCCACTCTGCATTCTTCCACAGAGCCTACGCATTCCTGACGAGATCCAGCTGCTCTCACAGGGACCAGCTCATGTCGGATTTGACAGTGATTTCGCTGTAAATAAAGTCGTATAAACAAAGCCAAATAAACCACTGCTGCAGTCGCCCCTCCCCCGCCTTAACTTTCCCGCTTCTTATCCGCTTGCGCATACAATAACAATACCACACATTGTAACGCTACTTTAAATGGTCTTCTCGACTGCCTACGCCCTCTTTACTTTCCCCCCATTTTCAATCTCTCCCTCCCCCTAACCACAAGAGTTTCTCTTGTGAATATGCCATGTGTTTATGGGTCTCACTCAACTGAATGCTCATCACTGTGAGCCGTGTAAAAAGAAAGTGGGTTGAATCGGCTGTGGTGTACAGTGATGTTTTGATATTCTTAACCCTCGGCACTGTGGGCCTCTAGATGGGGTCTGTAACAAGATCCCTCCCTCCCCCTGCCTCAGAGAATGTGTCTCTCTTTCTCTTTGTTGAATGGAAAATAGACAGACTACAAGAGATAAATCCAAGGAGACTGATAAAATGCATTCACACACCACTTTAAATGTTGAGATGAAAAAAGAAAGTACTATCTAAATATGTAAATGCTTAAAGATTACAAAAAAGTAATGTATAAAGTTCACAAAGAGTCTTGCTGGTTTCTTTTGTCCATTTAATAACTGACCAAATGTGTTCCTCTTCCTTAGCTGGCTGGTTGTGTAATCTTGGGGGTTTCACTCTGGCTTCGTCATGATGCTAAAACAAGCAGTCTTCTGGACCTGAAGTTTGAGGGAACTGAACCACCCAGCACTTTCTACATCAGTAAGTACATCACTTTCTCTCTTTATTTTCCTCTTTATTCATTTAGTCTGTTATTTTTCCATCTCTCATTCCTCAGTCTCTCATCCATCCATAAATCTTATCACACAAAGTCTTCGACAAAGTCTTGAGTGGGACACACACACACACACACACACACACACACACATATATATATATATATATATATATAATCATTTCTAATTAGTAGGGATGCACCGAAATGAAAATTCTGGGTCGAAACCATAAATTACTTTAAAAAATGTTTAATTAATTTCACATTTTAATTTTGTTTTGTATAATTGTATTATTATTATTATTATTATTAGACTTTTTAATTAAATTCAGTCATTTTACTGAATCTGAATTTTAAAAATACAAGCCAATAAAATAAAAATAACCACACAAGGAACATCAAAATAAATGTATTAGTCTGCATACATTTTCTATTATCTAATAATAAATGATCTACATAAAATATATTAAATATCAATTTGTTATTCTTCATTCAGTTTTGTGCAACATAATCAGATTTAATTAGGGCTGCACCCTACTAAAGATTTTTCTAGTCGACTAGTAGTCGTTCGTTTAAGCCATTAGTCGACTAATAGCAGAATTGCCATAGGAACTCACATCATCATTTAGGGAGAATTCTCGGTTCAGCAATAATGACCTACAACCTACAACATTTTTTCACAATCACGACGGAAATTCTAAATACTTCCCTAAACTCACTAGCAGAAAGGCAGCATGATATAAACAAGCCCGACTAAAACTCAACATGGCGTGATGGCAGCTTCACATTCTTCAATTCAGCAGAAAAATTGCTCCTCTTTAAGGATCATATCCAACATATACTATATGTTGTGATTTTCTGTTACTTTCTAAACTAGCTCAGTGTGGACTTTTGTCCATCTCATCCATTCTGCTTTTCACTTCCTGCCCTCCATTTGAATTTCAAGAGTCATCAGAATCAAGTGTCTGTATGTATGTGAGGCAAGTAGCTAATTACTTTTGATCAACTCAATTCATTTTTCAAAACTACTGCCTTGATCAACACAAAATAGGTGTCATTTGAAAGCTTAGAGCCTGAATTTTACAATGAATGTAGCCAATTTGTTTAGCCCCTAAGGAGTGCTGAGTTATTTGCTGATGCGTTTAAAAAAAAGTTTTTATAATTTATGAAAATATTTTTTGTTCTGTAATGTCAAAAACATCATACAGCACAGATAGTTATGTATCATATGTCAATTGAAAGAGCTCACATAGAATACAAAAAGCATACTTGTGTTGGGCTTTGACTAAACTTGAGTGAGTTTTTGTACGTGAAGCCCCGCAAGACCCATATGTAAATAATATATGGATGTGGCATTTATGTCCCGTTTTTGCTTGTAACTTCATAATACATGCTCCAATCATAACATCATTACTTACAGCAGATTCTCACACTTAAACTGAGTCTAAAATCAGCATAAACCATTGCTTCGATCAGGAGTTATTCCTCACGGAGTTATGACGCATAAAACTCCACAGGCCCTAAATACTGTAAAGACAAATGTAGCTTTAATATGGTGTTTTCGCTTGTAACTTCATGAAACATGCACAGATTGTAGAAAGAGTCACATCATTACTTACAGTTGATGCTCCTGACTGAAATGAGTGCAAAATCATTGCGTTGATCACAAGATTTTCCTTACGGAGGAACAACAATTTGCCTTTGGCTAAGCCACGCCCTAGAATGTAGATTGACCAATCACAGCGCAGCCAAGAATGAGGTCCCACACAGGTCCGACACTTTTTCACAGCGCTCCATTGACTTTCAACACAGGCGTCTCATATTTTTGGTCTATTACCGTCGTAGTTTTATCAAAAATATGGTTAAACGTTGTGCCTGGGGCATTTGTAACACAGATACGCGTTTCACAGAGAGGTTGGAAGGGGGTGTCCGTTTTTTTCCCTTCCCAAAACCAAAGTCAAATCCTGACAAGTGTCGTCTTTGGATTGTGTGGACGTCCTCAGTCAGCTAAACCCCTCAAACATCAACAAGCACATCTTTTTTGCTTCTAACCTTACTGTGAAGTTATACTAGTTAGACCGTTTTATCTTTTAGGTTTTGATTTCGGTTCTCATACCAGTTGTTGATACGCTAGCACACACTGCTAATAAATACAACGTTATACTCGTGTAGTCCGTTTGCTTTGTAATAACGATTATAGAAGTGAATAGAGACCTACCCAGCTTTAGATGAACAGTGTTGCTCCCTAATATCCCTGATGTCTCGATTAGTAGGATATGCGGTGGTTCATTTTTTTACTGTGACCGGTAACGTTATGCTTTTGCCTCTATTTGGATGCCTTGTTGTTTTTTTGCGTTTCACCTGTATGTCTTGAATATAACGTTAGTCTTCGAACACTTATTGCAGCCCTTTTTGCCTACTTCTATTGGACACTTTATTTGCTGCTTTAAAAGTGAAATGTTAAAAGTTTGATAACATTTCAGCAGGAAGACCTGCCACAGCATAAGCCATGTCGATACCAAACCAGAGCCCAGATGAAGTTTGACAGAGGTAGCAACAGTAACTAAGGGGGGTGGGGCTTAGCCAAAGGTGAATTGTAAAAGTGTCATGAGCTAAACAAAAAGGCTACCTTGGTTCCAAATGCTGTAACTTTTGATTACGGTATGCTATCACCACAAAATTTGATCCAGATTCAGCTCACATGTAAGGGAACCTCACCAAAAGAATTGTCCTCGTATCTATTTATCTATCTATCTATCTATCTATCTATCTATCTATCTATCTATCTATCTATCTATCTATCTATCTATCTATCTATCTATCTATCTATCTATCTATCTATCTATCTATCATTTCGTTTCATTTATTTATTTTTTTCTCAGCAGTTTCTCAGTATGAGAATGCCCAAATGTAAAAAAAAAATTCTACAAATTTTTAAAGATTTCTATCAAACAATAGCGACCTTTTGACTTTCATTGCTATAGTTTTGGCGTTATGAGTCTATATTTTGTTAATGTATACTCTAAAAATACCTGAGTGAGCTGCCATGTAAAGTTGCTACTGCATGTTTCAAACATAGACTGTATAAAACAATGGACATAGTGTTGATGACGTCAGCCGTAGGTTTCTGAAGAGCATTTGAAAAGGCCAAAAACGCGGAGCTGTCCTTCGCCATCTTGGCAAGAGCGTCACCGCGCGCCACTCGCACATAACCGAGGCAATGAGGCGGGATGTGAGGTGCCTGGTTTTATACAGTCTATGTAATTACATGCCTGTTTCCTACACATATTTTTGGGGACATGTCATACAAATACTTCCAATTTAGTCTGTGATAGTAAATGTTACGCTATTTATGAAATGCATGCATTATATGACTACGTTTCAGACTGCTTACAGTCTATCGTTTAGTCTACAGCTAATCACAGTCTGTCGGTTTCTGGAGTGCAGTAAAGTTTTAAATAAAATTATAAATAATAAATAAAAAATGGAGCCCAGACTTCTTGAAAGGTCTGTTAGGACAATTAACTGCACAACAACCCATATTATTTGATAATTGTATGAAATGATGGATTGCAGTTTAAGTGTCTTCCGTGTTGGATTCATGAGAGAGACCGGAAGGTTGCTGCTTGCTTTCAAATGATAAACCATATCTGAGGATGATGGATGATAGGTGAACTTTTGGATTTCCTGCCTGACATACTGCAATTGCCACAAGGACCTTCCGTTAATGATCTGTGTGTCAAACTGCTTGACCTCATAACTTCCTGTGGAGTTTTTGGAAGTCTTGCTCACAAAGTTACGAAACATGCTGAAATGCACCAATGTGAAAATTTGTCTTTAATTTACTTGTCATCAATCACTGGGACAAAATGCAACCATCTGTACTGTCCACACTGATATGGTTTTGTTTGAAAACACATCTTTTTCTCTCTGTTTTGGCCTTCCGTCCACACTGAGGTGGCGTTTTTGTCCGGCAAAAACTGAGCTTTTTGAAAATGCTTTCCTGAGTGGTGTAAAGGTTGTCACGATTAATACCGTTCCAAATTATCCTAGATCCTATTTAGATCCTAGGGATAATCCCACGGTAACTAAAGAGCCTATCCTTTAGTCGTGCCTTTAAGAGTTAGGTGATCAATCTCTACAAATTCGTATTCTATTATACAGATAATAAATTATAAATATAATAGATTTCCCCTTCGTAGTATAAGTCTACCTTTTTTTAGGTACTCTTGGACCATGTTCGCTACACAACAATAACTCTGCTGTAAGCTGCCTCTTTGGCTAGGCTATTTAATCAATCAAGTCTCACAGTGATTATTATTCTAAGAATTCTCACCCTCTTGTAGGTTCTTCCTGTCGGGATCTTCCTGATCCGGAGTGAAGAAGGCAAAAAGTACTCAAAAATCCAAGGTTAACTGGAATCCATTCGATATCTGTTTGCGTATCGAACTGGAGGTAGCAAGGAAGAGCAATGAATCTGCAGGTTTCTCTTTTTATAGTGTAAATCAAGCTGTCATCAGCGTGGTTGATAGGATACACATCATAAGGCTTATGATTGTCAGTTAAAAATCACGAGTTTGAGCTTAGACGATCCTTTGTATGTGTGGACAAACATCGTAGTCAGTGCTTTCTCACATGATAAGGGAAGATACCAAGATAGACAACATTCTATTCATTCAGCATAGCATTTTAGGTAATTGTACATGAGGTTATTCATTGAGCATAACATTCTAGATTGTCGTACGGTTCACTAGTAGAGCTAGCTCATTAAACACAGACTTCTTATTGTGACATTTTCTGCGCTTACAGTGAGTTGAAGAGGTAACTGAAGCAAAGGAAGTGCCACTCTCAGGTCATCAATCGTCACAGTGGATAGATTTGAAAACAGGGTTTTTGCGTTGTAGTGTGGGCTGTGAAAACAGAGGTATTTAAAAACAGTAATGCATGTTGAACTGATTGGTTGGTTCACATGGATATTTGTGAGGTC